CAGCTATGCCCACTGATCTCTCAGTTTGCTCAGAATAACTATCACTGATGAGACAAGGAGTCCTGTGGCACCTTAGAGACTAACAGATTTATTGGATCATAAGTTTTCGTGGGCAAAGACCCACTTCACCAAATGCATGTAATAGAAATTCCAGAGGCATTTTGCAGATTCAGACTAACATGGCTACCCCTCTGATACTTATCACTGATGAGTTGCATTTATGCCTCCTAACCAAGAGGGTGAATTATCAAGCAATGGAATGACTCTGGGATGATCAAGTGCATCCAGAATTACCCTTCTCTATATATCAAGCATGGATGGGTCTTGAAAGATTAACTGAACACACCAATTATATAAGAAATACCACCATGTGCTCCCAAATCAATCCTTCTGCTAATCAAATGCTTGTATGCAAAGACCAGCTGCTCATCACCCTGCAAATGTCTGGCCAGCAGCCTGCCTTGCATGGAGATAAACGTGTCACGTGGATGAGGATCAGTGTTGATGGACTGACAATATCCTGAACAAACCTTATGGAATTAAGATAGACTTTATTAAATTAAAGCATGGTGAATTAGAATGAACAACTTTGGAATTCATTGTGTTACAAATGTTTATATACTGTTGTGAGAGTGTACAGAACATATTTAGTAGAAAGACAAAATGAATACAGTCTCTGGAAGGTATGAGGAACAATAGGTGTGCAGTAGGTTTCCTTAGGAAATATTCTGAGCTGAGGAGAATGCAGTGTTCCCCCTTCAAAGCCAATCTTTTATAAATACACTCTGGGGAGACAGTCCCTTTGTATACTAACTACCGGTTCCTGGAAACTCCAGTCCAAAGGCCCCTGAACTGAGTGAAAACAAAATTGAACATGTGATCAATGTGCTTGTTCAGAGCTGAAGCCCATGTGTATCTTCCCACTCACAAGAGGGAACAGCTTGTACAGTTGCCAACTTTCCAGACCGGACAGGCCAGACACCGTTTGTGGCAATGGCACCCGATCAGGAAAGCTGGCAACCCCTGTGCTGAAGAGCTGAAAACCAAGCGCATGTGTCTTTGCTGGACCACAGAGGGAGGATACAAATGTAGTTGCCCTGTCCAGCAATGGTGCCTTAGACAGAGATGATCCTGATAATGATCCTGATGAAGAAATGTTTTCAGTCCTACATGTCAAGTCTGAATTCTGTAGGATTAGTCAAGGTCAATACCTTTCATATATCTATATAAGTGATACAAGCAACCCTTTGTTAAGGTACATTTAAAAATGTTGATATTTGTAAATATGGCCGCTCCCCGACTTACAGCCACCTCCACTTACGACCATCCGCACTTACGACCAAAACGGTCGTAAATGCAGATCCAAGTTACAAATGGCAATCTGCGCTTATGAACAGCGCAGTCACCATGTAACTCTATGGGATCCGAGTTATGAATAGTTCGAGTTACGACCAAGTGTTGGTCCGTAACTAGTTCGTAACTCGGAGAGCGGCTGTACTGTATTTTTCTGGATTATATATCTACATAACTATTCTAAATTAGGCATATTTGGTACCATCGCATTTATGGGAGAAAGAGTTTTCAGATGATAATCAACGTGACCCATCTGACACCTTTGCACTATCAAAACTTCCACCAATCAGAGGACCTGGAGTTCAGGATAGAGGGATGCGAATCCACCCCTCCCCATACCACAGAGAGTGACACCACTGAAATTATGAGTCTAGATGTTTATGAATCAAATGATACGTCCCTCACTTTTCTAGCACTAACTTGCTTAAGTAATGATATTTTACTGTCTGATGCTCCAAGATTAAATCCTCCTCTCTCTCCAAAGCCTGGGAGAAGAGGTAGACTTTGCAGTGTGACTTGAGGGTCAATATACCCGGGCTCTATCAAACCAAGGCTGGGGAGGAAAATTTCAGAGACAGAGGCCTCCTTGCTTTCTCTCTCTAGTTTTGTCTATTTCTGCCATCCCTCTCTCACAAACAGTCGCACCTGCGTGAGGATCGCCTGCCTACATGGTGCTAGTTTTTGTTAAGCTTGGATTTTGAGGGGAGCAGCTGGGTCTGCTGCACCCATGGGGGGTGTTCGCCCCAAAAGTGGTATAAAGAGGGCCATGTGAGGTGTCAAACTAAAGCTTACTTTCTACTGATTCTGTATATGTTCTTCATATATCTGCATGATGTCTGGGGCTACGTCTACACTGGAATGATTTTGCGCAAATACTTTTAGCGCAAGAGTTTTTGCGTCAAAGTATTTGCACAAGAGAGCGTCTACTCTGGCATATGCCTTTGCACAAGAGAAGTGCTTTTGTGCAAAAGCATCCATGCCAATGTAGATGCTCTCTTGTGCAAGAAAGCTCTGATGGCCATTTAGCCATCGGGCTTTCTTGCGCAAGAAATTAACGTTGCTTATCTACACTGGCCTCTTGCACAAGAACAGTTGCGCAAGAGGGCTTATCCCTGAGCGGGAGCATCAGAGTATTTGCACAAGAAGCACTGATTTTATACATTAGAACATCAGTGTTCTTGTGCAGGTCCTTGCGGCCAGTGTAGCCAGGTGGCAAGATTTTGTGCAAAAGCAGCCACTTTTGCGCAAAATCTTGCCAATGTAGACACAGCCTGGGTGTGGAGTTATGAATATGTACTCTGTATGGAGACTGGAAGTTTCTCTGTATGTGGTTGAGCGATAGGCTCAGCCTATGGACATGCTAATTAGCAAGCCTGCAGGGACAATAGGTCTCTTAAGAACCGGAGACCCACCTATGAAGGAATCTAGGTGCCTGGTCAGAGACCATGTGACTGTCTCCAGCTTGGAAGAAGCCAGGAAGAAGGTATAAATAGGCCATGTGGCCGACTCCATCTTGGTCTCCAGATCGGCTCCTGACCCCAGATGCGGACTTTCAGGGAATCACGAGCCTGGAAGAACTGTGGACCCATCCTGACATAGGATGTGCACCAAGGACTTTTAAGCCAGCAGTTATAACATCTCTGCTGCGAGCCTGCATTGAGAACTGGGAGGGGTTCAGGCAGGCAGCTGAAGTGTTCTGTGGGACTGATTTGTGGCCTATTTAGGAAGGTCTCCAGTCTGGGGGCTGTAAGGAGCCCTGAATTTGAGCAATTCGCCCTGAGCAGACGCCTTCAGCTGTGCCCAGACCCGACCTGGTCCGTCACACCGACCAGGAAGGGAGCAGTGCTGGCTGGGAAGGTAACGGGGGGGGAGGGGGAGGGGCAACGGGGCTGGCCGGAGGAGATGGGGGGGCCAACGGGAAGCAGGGCTGGTCATGGGGGGGGGGGTTGGGCGGAACGGGGCTGGCAGGAACAGAGATGTTGAGGTTTTTTGTATTTCTGAAATCTGACAATAAATTGCACTTTCTGGGTTTGTACGACACGCTTTGGAAGCCTCCTTCCAAACTGCTGTTGTGAATGTCTTTGACGGGATCTGTCCTCATCTCAAACCAACAAAACTATGCTTAAGGGAAAGAAAATGCAGTCCACCTCGCTCGGAGGGGTGTCATTTTGTTCTGAACTCAGTTATACTCAGAAGGCTTTGTAAGATGACCCTCTACGCTAGGGGTGGGACTAAGCAGGCTGCTGGACACTTTACCTGCACATCCACTGGTCAGCCACTCAGGGCTCTTGCAGCGACGGGCTGGGAGGTGGGGGGTGAGCAAATTGGCAGGCGGGGAGAGGGACTGACCTGGGCACTTGCTGCCTGTCCCGCGAAGGGTCCGGGCAAGGCACGAGCGAGGAGGAGGCTTCCCCTCCTCCTCACACTCAACCGACTAAGGGCTCCCTGCAGCAATCACGGCCCCACCTCCCAGCTGGGACTCCCAGCCGCTCCTCCCCGCCCACGCCAGGCTTCCATCCAGTGCACAGCCGGAAAAATCAGAAAATACCGGACATTGCATATGTCCAGTATTTTCTGATTTTTTTTACCAGACAGAGTGCGCAAATACCGGACTACTGCAAGTGCAAGCGATATGAGCAGCACTGTAACTGCCAGTGCTTTACATCTGCCAATGTGGACATTGCCTGTATACTTATTTCCACCCCCAAAAATGCCTCGCACTCTTCATAATTTCTCCCCAAACTGCTTTATCGGGGCAACCTCCGTCACCCTGCAGGTTTATGAGCTGTTCCTTTCACTTACCTTGGAGACCGCCGTCATTTATGCCACCAGATTGATGGCAATGCCCATGGCATTTCACCTTTCTTCTTTCACAGTAATAAGTCTTCTAGTCTGCTCTTCAAATACTCCCTCCACCTAATATCAGTTGGAGCACATGCAGGCAAGTTCTGGAATTCAGAGCTGTAGAATACTGAACAAACAATGGAACAGTCTTGTAATCATTCATTGTGTCTGTTTACAATGGCAACTCCCTTCTGCAATCATATGGAGGAAGGATGGGCCAGTGGTTAGCAGTCTTGCATAGGAATTGGGAGCGCTGGGCTCAATACCCTGCGGTAGCATGGATTTTCCATGGGATCATGGGATTAATCTCTAAGGGTATGTCTCTACTGCCATTAGATGTGCACAGCTAGCTTGGGCTAAGGGGCTGAAGTATAGACTGGGCTGGAGTCTGGGTTCCAGAAGCCTGTGAGGAGAGAGGTCCCAAACATCTACACTGCAATGAAATAGCCTGGATAGCATGAGTTTTTGTTGCAGTGTATACACCAGACTGATGACTCTCTGTGCCTCAATTCCTCATCCGTAAAAGGTGTCGTAGCATTGCTCTGTTTCACAGGGATGGTGTGAGGACAACTGGAGAAATATTGCCAAGTGCTTAAACACCCTGAAGGGGCACCATGATGGACAAAACCTCTCAGTGGTCCTTCCAGCTCCAGGGAGCTCAGTTTGTACTGTGGATGGGATGTATGTATTTTAACTTTGCATGTCCTGGTTTTCACAGGTTTGAGTGTAGCTGAACAAGATGTGCTAGAAGGTCATAAGACACCACGAGGAACTTTGTCTCTTGGTAAATAAAACTTTATAACAGTTTATAAACAGGAGCAGCTGGTACAAACACGATTTTAAAAACAAAGGGGCTAGAAATAGATAAGTCAGGGCAGCCTTGCAACAACCCTTTTCATGAAAAGTTGAACATTGTTCCTGTACAGGGCTGAACAGCTTTATTTCCTGCCATTCTTCCTTCTGCTACAAGTGCCCAGGGAGATTTCAGTCTCACGAGAGAGGGTGTGGGTCTTGATCCCCTTATGGTGGTTGCAGAGGCGGGAGCACATGTTCTGAGGGGATGTGGGCTAGCATGTTTCCCAGGGCACGGGAGGGCAGGATGAGGAGCCTGTCTTCTCCCCGCAGTGCTGTGGGCTCCAGTTCAAGGCGGGGCCAGCGCACCCACATGCCATTCCTGTTGGGCAGCTCCTTGGCAGAGTGTGATGAGTTTGATAGGTCTCAGGCCACTCCCCCCAACAGGCAGTGCGAGCTGCGAGCCCCGAGTCAGGGCAGGGCACTGAGACCAGGAACCCCCAGCAAGGTCATTCCCCGCCTCTTTCCACAGGCGGCCCCGCCCATCCTGGGACATCTGCCCCCGCCCCCATAGCCCCCTTCCTCTACCATAGAGCGTGATTACAGAGCGCCTGCTCCCTTCTGGTGGGGGGGTCCTGTTCGGCGGCCATCTTGGATCCGGGAAGCGAAGCCATAAACCAGGGCGGGGAAATAAAGGGCCCCGCCTGCGCCGCCCGCAGACATTATTCAGCCCACGGTTCTTTTCATGTTATTTCCTCCATAAGTGCCAGTCACGTGGAGGAACCCGAGGTACGTCTCCATCGATATCGATCACCGTTTTATGCCCTCACTCAAGCGGGCTGCGCGAAGGCGGGGCGGAGGAACGGTTGGAGGTCTAATTAGAAAATGGCCGCTAAAAGACGGGGTGGCGCTCTAGCCCGGCAACTCGGTGATCGTGCCAGCAAGCGCGGGTCTCCTCCATAAGTGCCAGTCACGTGGAGGAACCCGAGGTACGTCTCCATCGATATCGATCACCGTTTTATGCCCTCACTCAAGCGGGCTGCGCGAAGGCGGGGCGGAGGAACGGTTGGAGGTCTAATTAGAAAATGGCCGCTAAAAGACGGGGTGGCGCTCTAGCCCGGCAACTCGGTGATCGTGCCAGCAAGCGCGGGTCCCCCAGAGCGGGCGCGCGCAGTGAGTCGGGGGCGGACGTTGAGCCTCGAGGTGGTGCGGGCGGCGGCGGGACGGGCTCGCGGGGCGGACGTCGCAGCAGCAGCAGCGCCGGATCTGTTTGAGGGGACCCTCCCGGCCTGGCCT